GGTTCTTTTAAGCACAGGTCTCAGATAGCCTCAGGCAGCAGCCACACAAGGTAACTCCTGACCTGATGCCCTGCCAGAACCAGTTCCGGACGGCCTTAAATGTGATTCAGCGTCTTATCAGTGTGGACGCACTATTTCAGAATAGCAACATGCTATTTCGAAATGTATTTTGTGTGTAGACGTGTTAGTTTGAAATAAGCTATTTCAAAATAAGATATTTCAAAATAGCACTGTAGTATAGACATACTCTTAGGCACCTGTAACTGTTTTGTCTGTATTTTTCTTGTAATAATTTCTGATTTTTATGTGCCATTGCTTGTGCTCAGTCTTCATAGACAAGACAGCCAAAGGGTGGGAGACAGGAAGTGCCATATACCCCTTTTGAAGACAGGGAAGTAAGGCACAGAAATATGAAGTGATTTGTCAAAGGTCTCACAGGAAGTTTCAGGCAGGGCTGAGACCCTGTTCAGTGCTTTAACCACATGGCCATCCTTTTTTACTCATTAGCTAGATCAGAGGAGTCATCAGAAGTATGCTCTGTATTATTGCCTACCTACATGATACCAGACTGGTTTGCACTTTTGTGCTTCACCTTACCCACAAGGATGAGACAGATTTGACAAGGCTGTAAGCAGATGTAAAGATTTCTTTATCCTAATGTCAATGTTCAATATATTAACTTCATCCAAGCAGTCTGACCCTGGGCACAAGTAATGGGATACCAAACAGCTGACAGGATAAATCTCTATGGAAACCTTGACCCAATTTGTGCCACATTAGATGCATGAGGGAGGGGAGCTAGGCATGCAGTCTTTATGGAAGCAATCTGAATATGCTGAAGAAATGATAATGGGATCAGAATGGAAAGGTACTGGTTAACGAAAGCTCATCAACCATGTCAAAAACCATCCACACAAAAGTAACTTAGTGCTATCTGATGCTGGTCAGCACATGGATGCTGTGTGCAAAGCAAAAACAGGCAGAAAGCTATCAGAAATCAGTATTTACAAGGGGCTTCTTCAACTGAGTAGCCAAATGACTCATTAACTCCAACTAAATTAGAAGAATGTAAAGAGGGGTTCATATGAAAAATTGTCCAGAGAAAAACTCAAGGCCAAATCCCAAGCATAGCTCTATCAACTTCCAGGCAGCTAAGCTGATTTACACCAGCAGAGACTTTGGCCCTGAATTTCTTAAGAACATGGGGGTCACACAAATCCTGTCTTAGGGCATGGTAGAAAGTCTGCTATGCGAGAGAAAAGTTGACAGTGATAATGATAAGTGTGTTTGAGACTCCTTAAGCTAATCATTCAAGCCACGGATCAAGAGAGCGGGTGGTTACGTGGAACAAAAGGATAACGCCAAGAACCTTGTCAAGAGGGGGGGGGAAAGGGAGGGAAAATTTGCTGAAAAAAAGTAACAGCTGAAAAGTGAAGCTTATGTGACAAGATGGGTGATTCCCAGGGACAGAGATTTGGGCAGGAATAGATGCTAAAATTATATAGAAAGGAATATAGAAAGGATTCAGCCGAGTCAACAAAACAAACAAACCAACCCAAAACCACCTGGTGGAATTTGGAAAGGAATCAATAGGTTTGAAGAGACTGGCTTACTATAATTAGGGAAACACTCATTGCTTTGATTGGCATAACAACTGAGGGTGAAAACCTGGCCTCACTGAAGTCAATGGCAAAACTCTCCACACAAGTCTGGATATTTGCAAGGCATACCTCTGCTTATGGCAATTCCAAGTCTTGTGAGGGATAAATGACCATGCCTCCAAATATTTCAGAGCCTGTAATATTGCCACTGACCCTGAGTTTCTTTAGCAGACCAGAATATGAAGGTCATTTCTGGCAAGTATATAGCACATAGATTTGTCAAGAGCACAGATGTATCAGCAGGTTGAATAACTGTTGTCTAGGCCCAGCAGTTTAATAATCTAAGATGCACTTGAAGAAGGCTATTATTTTGTAGAGCTTTAATTCCTTTTAATTCTATTTAAATACTCAAGTACAATATTCTGTAGAGAACAACCCTGCATTAGTAGAAAGAATGGGCCAAAAAAGGTCATTAGATCTTTTCTATCTTTAATGTCTGCCATTCTAAGCACCATTCCATTCAGAACACTTAGGACAATAAAAGTATCACAAGTATTGTTGCTTTTTCTCCAACATTTGCTATGTTTCCATATGCAAAGACTAGCACATGTTCTTCCATTAAAAATGACTTGTTTTAGATTCAGGGAAAAAAGCAATAGCAAAAAGTAAAAAAATAAATCAAGGTGTTTAGGATCGGGAACACTGTGTTTCTTCAGTAACAAGCTGAAGCAATGGAGTTGGTTGTTGTCTCTGTAGACAAGCAGGGTTCTTTGAAATGGTGTGGTACAAAAGCATAAACTTTCAGGCTTCACACCCCACAATTGTGATTTTGGTTATAAAGGGTGAGTTTGTTCCCATTGTTACAAAAATTGAGAGGTGCTTTGATTGTGTTAATGGTTGAAGATAGGAAGGAGTATAAGAGTAACTGTATTGTTTTTGCATTTGGGATCAGGACTGACACCCACACATAAGTCATTAGGCCTATAAAAACTGGACATCAGTTAGGATGCTGGTGTGCAGAGACCACTGCCTATCCTGCTGACCAGACTTGTCTCATTGCTTTCCGATATTCCCTGTTTCTCTGTACCATCTGTTCACTCGTCTAAATTTGTAAGCTCTCTAGGGTGGGCATCATCTTTTTGTTCTGTTTGTACAGCATCAAGCACCATGAGATCCTGATCCATGATTACAGATTTTAGGAATGCCATTAGACATAATAACAATTAATTATATCCCTGTGTCATTCAAACAAAGTCAGTGGAATTACATTAGTGGTGATTTAGCTCAGGAGAGTTTAAGGAGGCATCACTTCAATTGGGTTTTTTGCTCCTCTTGTTTATACTGATGCTTTCTCCAGAGATCCTGTATAGCTGGGACTATTGGTTCTCTCAGCTGGAATGGGAAATTGTTCTCAGGGAACTATCCAGCTCCGTGGTTTGACATAAATGAGGAAGATTGAGATGAATCTTTCCGATTATGCAGTTGTGTTATATAAATCAGTCCTGGTCTTTTCCTTTCAGCATGGGTATGGGCATAGTTTAATCACATTTGGGATGGCAGAAGATTTAGGAGCTTAAACATGTGTGTTTGTGTGTGTGGCTGTGTGTGTGCGTGCACACCTATGTGCATGTGAAGCAGGTACATCTTAACTTCAAAGGATGAATTGTACCTTTCCCTGGCCTGGGCCACCATCACTTCACTCTCTCTCACACACACACACGCATTCCTCTTTCGCCTAAATATTGGTGGGTTTCAGAAATACTAAACAAATAAGCTCACCTTGAGCTTC